TTAGTAAGGTAGTTGTTAAGTTTAGGTATGGGGTGAATTAAAGGATCTAAAAATATGGTCATTCAGAATAAGGCATTAATATGTGCTTTATGGTGCGGATTATTGTGAAGTTTTTATCAGCTGTTTGGACTCTCATTCTGAAAGCACCCATTCACTGCAGAGGATCCATTGGTGAGCAAGTGATGAAATGTTAAATGGTAACACTTTAGAATAGAATAGGGAACATATTCACTATTAACTAAGTTTTCCCTGGAAAAACTCCTAATTTGCTGCTTATTAATAGTTAGTAAGGTAGTTGTTAAGTTTAGGTATGGGGTGAATTAAGGGATCTAAAAATACGGTCATTCAGAATAAGGCATTAATATGTGCTTTATAAGTACTAATAAACAGCCAATAGGCTAGTATGATAATAAGAAACTAATTAATTGCTAAAATTTGAAGAATGAAGAAGCAAACTCATCTACAACTTGGACAGCCTGAGGGTGAGCAAATTTTCAGCAAATCATTCCTTTAAGTGCTGTTAGTTTCTTTGTGTAAAGAAAAAAAAAATACTGAGTACGCCTTTAAATCACTTTGTACACAAGTGCCTGCCTTTCTAAATGAACAAATGCAAATAAAACATTGTCTAAATACATTTTGGAGCCACTGTCACTGAATCATCATCCACAAACAAATTAAATTCCATTATTACTATACATTTCAAAACTTTAAACATTTACCAACAGGACACTGTTTAACACAAAAAAGTCTTCTCTGTATATCAGCATTGCATGCATGTGAAAATAATAACTATGTGTCCAGCCATACAGCAGTAAACAACTTGACAAGAGTATAACAGGCTGAACTCTCCTTCATCCCCACTGTGAGTATGTTGCCTTTATCAGGGCAACAAACAACATGAAGCATCTTTTTAACTGCTGTATGGAGCCACTTAAGGTGCTGTCTGTGGTTTTATTGTACTCTACTTGTTTAATATTCATTACTTCTTATTTGAGATTCATCATGTTTCTAGCTGTTTTTAAGGAAGAGTGGCAAGTTCTGTTATAAGGCATCTATAATGAGGTACTTCAAAAAATATATATTGCAGACAATTGCATCAGAGCTCAAGTATTCGATGGAACACAGATTGTGATGATGTTCAGTGGCACTTGCTGAACTGGTCCTCTAAACCAGTGCTTCTCAAACGTTTCAGGCCAAGAACCACCTCTAATCCAATCAGATTTAATATTACCATCTAGTCACAATAATATTTTCATTCACTTTGAGTGCTAGGAACTGTAAGCAATATGCACATAATATAATTTTATTCAATTTTAATTTGATTAAACGGTCTATACAGTAAGTAAGGAATGTTTGCCATAATGTGTACATTTTGGTTGTTTTAGAGGCAGGCTTATTTTGCCTTTATATAGCTTTCTTCTGTTCTTTCATTTGGCAGCACTCAATGTGCTAATTTCCTCTTTTTTTCTTCATTATATATAAATAGTCTCCACTAAAGAGCTACCTATTTTGCTTCAAGTTCTTTTTTGACCTGTTTGAGTTTACTTTGTAAAAGTTTTATTTTTTTTTTATAGTTCACTGTTCACTGTTCTAGTTGCTTATGTTCTTTAATTAACCCTAAACTAATGGGGATGTAACAGATAACAGAGCCACTTTTAAAATTTCTGCCTGTCTGGCATCATTTACTCCAGACTGGTTACATTATCAATAGGTTACGCTTAAAATTCAGTGCTGAAACCAATCATTCTTAATTTAAATCGGGTCACTCTTAAATCTTGTCTTTAAGGAATACAATTTGAGTATAGAATATTATCCTGCTTTTTACATTGGCCAGGTCCGTGTATTGCTATTGCTCTTTTTCTCTGCAGAGACTAAATTTATGTAGCGCACACTTTGACCAAAGAAGTTCACATCCCCCCAGTCCTAAGTAATAATGTGGGATTGGAAATAAAACATTGATGAAAATAAATCAAAATCGTAAAATATATTGAACCTTATATGGTGCATATTAATACTTTAATGGTACATATTAGTACCTTTTGAAAGGGTACTGCCTTGTGTGTTCTAAACTATTAAAATATGTTTGATATTTGGGTTAGTTTTGGTTAGGGTTATGTTTGAATATGTGCTCAACATTGTTAAAGATTTTTTTTTTAAGGATTTTCTGTAATACAGTACATTTTGTAGTCATAATATCAGGTAACAATCATCTACCAAAAGGATCTTTAATTTTTAATAGATTAGATGATCCTTGAGAGAGCACCAAAGTTGTTTATGTTTATTTATTATTCATAATATATAATAACTTATATAGTTTTTAATTAGTTCTGCATGTACTTAGACTCTTATTAACTCCACTCAAACAATCAGTTGGGGGCACTGTAATAATACATAATTAAAATTTGGGAAAGTTAGATTCTCATGAAATATATTTTTCATTGTATACTTTATGTTTTCTTTATCTTTTTATTTAGGCATTCATGACTTGAATCCATAAACAATGTGTGACCACTTGAACCGAATTAACTTTTTAGAACCCCTGTGGTCTGCGTACACCCAATTTATTCCTGTGAAGTTTATCTATATATGTTTACTTTTTTAATTTTTTTTATGAGATAAACTTATTAAACTAAATTTTTTATTATGTTTATTTGAATTGGCAGTTCCTTTAATGTCTTTATGTTCTTCTGTTATGTCAAGGTCTAGGTCAAGACACAGCATACTTTGTCCTTACTCCATATGATTGAAGCAAAATTGATGAGACTCCATTAATATCAGTTGTGGCTCATCGCAGACTGCCAGTCAGCCTCCCTCATCACAGGGGTGAGCTGTAATACTTACAGAAAACATAGACATCCATTCTAATGTTGTACATGAATTTAGTTTAATCAAACTTTTACTTGTTTGAAATTTTCTTATCATCCTGTTTCCTGCAAGGAACTATCCCCTAAGTGTTAGATCTGTCCCTTGTCAAGACCTAAACAAAAGGCCATAAAATCATATGTTTTAAGCACTGATACAATTGTTCTCCATGGAAGTAACATAATGACAAATGTCTTTGAAACAAAAAACCATGCTGAATTGCACTAACTGGAAAAAAAATTAAAAATAAAATAATGCATTGCATTAACAGTGCTTGCATTTTATACCATGTATTTTCAGGGCTTGCTTTTTTAGGGGCTGAAATTTAACATAGTTGTTTATTTAAGCTGTCGATATTTCAGTTCAAAACATTTCACACACATTTTCATAATTAAACATTCAATAATTCATATTCACCTTTCATAGTTCACTTCCAAAACATTCAATCAGTTTAAAAATACAATGTATAATATTCGACAGGCAATTTTCAGTCCATTTTATTTTATTTTACAAATGTTCTTCAACTAATTCAGTGGTTCAAATTCGGCAGATAATTCAGCATTGCACGTCTGGGAACTGCAGGAATAGCAGTAGAGTACCGATGCATGATATGCATCTGCTGTTAGTCACTCACCAGCAGGTGGCGCAAGCGGGTGTTGATGGAGACCAAAGCAACAGGTAGAGCAAGTCATTAATTCACAAAAACTGATCTGCAGAAATGGAGCAAGTGGTAGAAGTTATGATTATCAGGGCCAGTATGTATTTGTGGAAAAGCTGATTAGGATTTAAAAGCTGTGTTTACGTTTAATTCAGCATCTTCGGTGTCACTCGTTTCCCCGTGAAGCCACATGTAAGCAGCTTTCTCTACCAAAGGAGATTATAATGCTATTTTCCCCAACGCTGATATACAGAACTAATTACATCTAAGATATTGATTTCAGTTGCTTAGTTTCCTTAACTTTATATCATGGCTTGTGTGACACTGAGTTGTAATACTGAGGTTTCCCTCTTATGTCACACTCCAGGATTCCCCAACGGCTCTTAAAGGGTTAGTTCACCTAAAAATGAAAATTCTGTCATTAATTACTCACCCTCGTGTCGTTCTAAACCCGTAAAAGCTCCGTTCATCTTCGGCCTGGTGCCATTTTGGAGAGTATCCACTGAACGCAAACAGCGTATGCTATTCTGTGTCTGTAGTTGAGACTGGATAAGACTGAACTTGGTCTTAAATCTGAGTCAAGAAAGAGACATGAAGAGAGTCTGAACTATGTATATATGCTTTTCTTTGGGGTAAATTAAGGTTTTGTGTCAGTGTCACATGAACCTCCACAAAGCACACACACTGTACTCTGATCCAGAGACACGGTAGTGCAGAGTTGGAATGCGTGAGTCAGCACAGACCCAAAAATGTATCCACATCATTGTAGTACTTGAGAATTAACTTGAACAAATGTACCTAGAGGTAGTTTCCCTCCACCAGATTATACTGGCTGCCATGGAGATGTTATTGTCGTTGAGATATGTGAGGAAACACCTCCTTTATCTCCTGGCTTATGGCCAATCTCTGTAAACTCTTGAGAGTAAAAATCTTTAGACCTCAATGTACCAACCCCAAACAGACAGTTTGTCTTCAGTGGCAGAGAAGTCCTCACACTTCCAGCAGTTTCACACCATTTGAGCTGTTGTTTGCCCATCTGCCTGGAGGCTTCTAGATGTCGCAAAAAAGGCCTGGCAGTAGAAGCCATGCTCTTACCACTCTGTAATTAACTTACCACTCAACCCAACTCAACTTACCTCTTTTTTATTGAATATTAATGTTATGTGTAACAAAATGCTTGCTTTTTGTTCAGGTTTGACTAAAGTAATATTAATGCGAAAACTGACACTTCAAATCAACATTTAAAAAAAAAGAAAAAAAACTTAGACAAAAAGTGGTCTTAGAGAGCATCTAAATATACAAACTGTAATACTCTGCAATGAAGCTGCCAAACTGATTATTAAACTTTTTTACATTTTGTACATTTATACTTAGTAGTTAACAAGTGTCATCAATGTGCATTCCAGGTGTTGTTTTCACTGTTATTGAGCAGAGAAACATTATTGTCTGTATTCACAATACAGTATGCATAAAGTGCATATCAGTTGGAAGCAACTTCTCTCAGTCTATCATTAGCGAGGTTTACAATTTGTTCAAATGCTGTTAAAATGAGAACATCAACATCATTATTTATTTTGATTTCATCTTGGTAGTTCTTCACTGGAAAGATGCAGTTCAATGGCACCCCAATCATATCACTGCACACTTGCATCTATAGAAAAGGTAAAAAAAAACAACAACAAAAAAACAGAGATGATTCTACAAATATCAGGCAAACTCAGTATTCAAAAATTTTATTTCCACAAAGTGAAACACATAGGACATTAAATGGCATGATTTACCTTCTTTTTGATCATCTTGCTGGTGTATACCTTCTTTAGGTCATTTTTCACCAGTAGACATGCTTCATCCACTTTAGTCATGACGATCACTTGAGGAATCCCTACAATGAAAGAGTTAGTGGTCTATGAAATGGTTCAGTTTTTTCTTGTTGTCTTAAGAAAAATGTTATTTGTCTTTGAGAACAGGCTGAACGTTAAGTTCAAAATATTTTAAATCATTAACAAAGATACCTTATAGAGAATCTTCCTAAACATAGCTTTGGATCTAATCTGATGAATATTTAAGGTATGAAAGTTTCCTTATTCGGGGAAGCATGAACTGTATCAAAAATCAAATTAAAAATCATTTGTATTTTATATTTAATTTTCATCATCAACCCAGTATAAACCTGTCATAATTAAATCTATAATTCAGTGCTCAAATCAAATGCTCAAACTGACATCGCAAATGATAAATGCTCAATTATAAATCAAATACTCAAACCAACATCACAAAAGGCAAATCAAATGCTCAATCGGACATCGCAAATTATAAATAAAATGCTCAAATGCAAATGAGGAGTGCCAGTCTGATGCACGTGAGTAAACAGACAGTACAGTACAGTTGAATTTTTATTTTCATTTTGATAGGGAAAAAAAACTTCCATAGCAACATTACTTAATCTCCTATGAAAACAATACTCATAATTCATAGACCAGTCTCACTCGTATCTCTGATTCTGTGGCGGATTATCCTCAGTTTGTCAATAAGTCGGGTATCTGTTAATTCGATTGTTTTTGAGTCCACAACATAAACCAGGCAGAAAGCCTGGTTAGACAGTAAAGGGTCACTGACGTAATCTTCACTCTTGTGATCAAGTGGCTCCTCTGTGTTGAACTAAGATTTAAAATAGAGAAAAACATATGTGAAAATATCATATGTATTTCACAAATATAAATCCTTTTCAAAGATGTATTTTTTGTTTATTTGTTTTATTTATTTATTTATTAATGAATGTGGTTAATTACTTTGCAGTTTTCCTTCACATGCCCATATATGGCTTTGATGATATCTTCTGGCTGAGACCCCTCCATTGCTTCAGTTTTTAAACCCATTGTATCAGTCCAGATAAAAGGCAAATCACCATCTGCACCTCTGACTCTGTGTGTTGTAATCTACAAAACAATAACAAAAAAAGAAAAGAAAAAAAGAAAATCATAAATACTGTAGTTTCTGGTTGAAAAGGCACACATAGTTAGCCAAAATGCTCATAATGCAAATACTATGGCTCAACTAAAGATTTTTAGGTTATTCTGAATATTAAAACTTGATGCATTTCCTTGGAAGAGGAAGAAGAAGAAGAAGAGGAGGAGGAGGATGAGGAAGAAGGAGGAGGAGTAGGAAGAAGAGGAGGAAGAAGAAGGTGGAGGAGGAGGAAGAAGAAGAAGAACCTCTTCATTTAAGTGCTGTAAATGCAATATTATTTGTAAGTAATACCTACTCTGTTTGTGAAACTGTGGCTGGAGACACTATTTGTATTAACTAGTGCTCCACTTGTGATCCGCCCTTGGAAGGTGCTGTTGACAGAATTAATAAAACTGGACTTCCCTGCTCCAATTTGTCCAGCTACCAGGATCCTGATGCACTTTATATCTGGATGACTCACAGAGAACCCTTCTAGACTTTTCTTCAGCTCTTCCTTCTGTCTGTGCCAGCACAAGATACAACATTCTTTACATAATATTTGTACATAATGTTTGTAAATAACACAAATGTAATTGATGTATGTTTCATAAAAGGTCTCTATTATTGATAAAATAATGCATTTGGTTTGTTTTAATACATTTTTATATTCATTCTTTTGCTATGAAAGTCATAGAGCCACACCCATTTCATAAAATAATTACTAATAGGTAAGATCCAAGTAATATTTTCGAGATTAAGCTCATATAGCTTCTTATTTGCCATTTCATCTGAATTCCTATTTAACTAAATATTGAACATAGGACAACAAACATTATTGTCTACATACCCATAAATAGCTTGGCTATTAACATATGTAATGAACCTACCCCCAGTCAGATTCCCTCCATGGTTTTTCCAATTCTAAAAAAAAATAAAAATAAAATAAAAAATACAATTTATTTACAACATGAGTTTAAAATGAGTTTAACAATGCAGCAAACTGATTTATCTCCGATTGTCTAAAACCATATAATAAAATACTGAAATATTACACATACAAAATGTTGTCTCATCTTACCTGGGCTTATTACTGGTTTAGATGACGAATTTCCCATATTTTGTTTAAATTTTGAAGGAGAAAAAGACTTGCTGTTTCTCAGTCAGTTTGCAGTCCAGTCTGGAAGCTTATGCCATGGTGCCGGTTTATAAACCATTCCATTCTCAGTTTCACTTTCAGTTTTACAAACAATATTAGAAACACAGTAAAATAAATATATATATTTTTAAAGCATTAATGCATTTCCTTTAACTGAATAACAAAGATGAACATTTAAATGCATAAAAAAAAAGCAAAAATGAATAAAATTATCAAATTAAGAGTTAAAAATTGAACATGAACATGCTGTTTTCCTAGGAAACAGAAACCGAAAGTGTTTTGGAAGTGCTGTGTCATTCTAGGGAAAGAGAGCCAAGGATGTTAGACACAGAGTCCTACAGAATAAGACTGATGTCAACAAACACCTGTGCATGATATACAGTGTTGGGAAGGTTACTTTGGAATAGGTTACATATTACAAGTTACCCTGTTTAAAATGTAATAAGCAGTGGTGGACAGTAACGAAGTAGTTTTACTGAAGTGAAATGAAGTGTTTCGACCCTTAACCATAACACGCTCCTGTTGGCGGGATGAACATTTAAATGCCCTTTTTTTTTTAAAAAAGCAAAAATGAATAAAATTATCAAATTAAGAGTTAAAAATTGAACATGAACATGCTGTCTTCATAGGAAACAGAAACTGAAAGTGTTTTGGAAGTGCTGTGTCATTCTAGGGAAAGAGAGCCAAGGATGTTAGACACAAAGTCCTACAGAATAAGACTGATGTCAACAAACACCTGTGCATGATGTACAGTGTTGGGAAGGTTACTTTGGAATAAGTTACCCTCCTTAAAATGTAATAAGCAGTGGTGGACAGTAACAAAGTAGTTTTACTGAAGTGAAATTAAGTGTTTCGACCCTTAACCATAACACTCTACTGTTGGCGGGGGTCAGCAGTGGTGGCCAGCCACTACTCCCTCCATCCTGGTTGCCAGCTCAACTCCTCCCTCCTGTTCCAAATCCAACAAGAGGCTCTCTCTGCTGCCTCCCCCAGTCTTCGCACTGCCTTCTTTCTCTCAGCCCCCCTCAGTCCAACGTCTGTCATCAGCTTCCAGGCTGACTGGGCTGGGAAGCCCCTGCATCCCACCTCGACTGGGTACAACCATGTCTGCCAGCCTTTGTCCCTGCAGGCCTGCACCAGGTCTTTATAGCGTTCAGACTTCCTTTCAATTGCCTCCTCCCACCCCTCTTCCCACGGCACCGTAAGCTCCACTAGGATGATCTTCTTTCCTTCTGTGGAGAAAAGGACTGCATCGGGTCTTAAGGTAGTATGGACGACATCTGGGAACTGAAGTCTTATCTTCAAGTCTACCCTAAGCTCCCATGCTTAGGCAGACAGCAGGAGGCTAACCCTGGATTTATTGGGCCCTGGTGGCTTTGTCCCCTCCTTGACAAATGTTATACCAGGTGGCGGCTTGCTCTTATGTTGCCATTTCCTGGTCCTCTCCTGCTCTAGGATGTCAGCTAGCACAGTCAGTACTTTGTCATGGCACCATCTGTATCTGCCCTGGGCAAGCATGGTCTTACATCCTGACAATATGTGTGCCATCGTTCCCTTTTGCCCGCAGAGCTTGCATATTGGGTCGTCCCTCATCCCCCATCTGTGTAGATTCACAGGGGTTGGAAGGGTGTCATAGACGGCCCTAAGCAAGAAGGAGATCCGATATGGCTCGACCCTCCAAAGGTCAGCCCATGTCACCTTCCTCTTGGGGAGATCCCACATTGTCCAGGCTCCCTGGGATCCTGGCCCCACAACCTTTGCTTTCCTCTGCTCTTCCTCTAGGCCCCTTACTTCAGCCTGGACCATGGCTCTCCTCTCCACAGGATTGGCTTTCCCCCACTCTTGGAAGTGGGTCATTCCCAGACCTTGCCTTCCCATGCATGGTGCTCCGATGATGTCTTTGAGCTTTAAGTTCCTTTCTGCTAGGGCCAGAGATGCTGAGGCCTCCCACATTCGTCCTGACCTGGTTTTTATACCAGCTTCTCTGACCTTGCTGTCTCTTGAGTCCCAGCAGGTCATGGCCACCCTGCACTTTGCTACTTGGAACTCCTCAACCAGGGAAGAGAGGGGTAGTTGTAATTGCCCAGATCTGATGTACAGCCCGACTGATGTGAAGCCTGGAGGGATTCCCAGCCCCCTAAACTTTTAATTCCATATGATCAAGAACTTATTGACAATCTACAAATGAATTTAACAGATGTTATAAAATGATGAAACGCTTGTGTTAATGCACAACACTTTTGTTGCTATTGACGTGTGATACGGGTCAGGTTAGGGACAGGTTTGATGGTATGGGTAGGTTTAAGGGTTGGTTAAAGGGTCAACAGTGTACAGGGGTCAATTTGATTTTTATAAGGGAACACTGTTCAATCTGTTTATATTATATTGTTTTGATAAATGAACAAGTATTTTATTTTAAAAAATGATTTGTTTTCCCCTGTTTATTTATGATTCAAGGAATATCCTGTTTAATGATATACTGAAGAGTAGTATACTAATGTGAGTGTCAAATGCCCATAAAGATACTAAACAATTCGTAATAGTTTATAAACATTTAAAGAGCAGGTCATATGGGTTTCTGAAACATATCTCTTTTGCAGTTTATAATGTAGCTATCCTTAAATGAAAACAATCTGCAAAGTTGTTAATCAAAAAAGTGCATGATAAATAAAGATATTGTCTCTCAAAAGAGAGAGTCGATTCTGAATCGCCTTAACGAGTCGTCATATTTTCAAATCTTTTGCCTGTTACCGGTATACGTGACTGGGTAACACATTTGCATAATCCCCGTCTGCCCACGAAATACAACAGAGTCTGACCTGCCCACAAACACTTCTGCTAGTTAGTGTGTTTACATCATGTTG